ACTTGGTATCTGTGCAACCCTAATAGACACATATATACACATATATAATATTTCACAAAAAGATTGATGTCCTTGAATGTATCAAAGCAATGTCGATGGGTCAAAAGCCCAGACCCCAGCCAAGGACATTAATATGTTTGTGTTATCTGAGAAGAGGACGGTTTACAATGTATCTAATAATGTTTGTAAAGGAAACATTTCTCTATTCGTAGACATTTTGTCGAGGGAACTTTTACGGAGTGTTCCAGCCCTTCTTTTCTGTCCCCGCCCCCTGTGTCTTCTCCGTTGTTGTCACTATTTTTTCTCCTCTATTATGATAGTTTTTAGCTCCTCCTATTAGGTTTTACAAGGTACTCACCTCATCCTGTGCACGGAGCCCATGTGTTTACAACAATCCGCAGCCATGCCAAATTTTCGCGGTGCCAATATCACAGTGATGAGGCTTCTGATTTTTCATACAGTTTACTGGGACTAGAAAATGCAGCACAATGCTCTGAATGGGTCCAAAGAATGAGATTTTCCTGCAGAAAACTGTAATAAGCAGTCTATTATACCAACCTATGGGACTATGGGGAATAATATAGTGTCCTCTATAAAAAACAAACATTAACCATGTACAGTACATATTTCTGTATAATAAATATATTTATAGAGTTTTGGCTTTAATTTATATATTTGTTTATCTATCTGTACAGGTTTATTGATGAGCCAAGTTTTCGGCGAAGTTGGTCTTCATAAGCACAATTGAGTCATATCGGAGAGAATCCATATACGTGATCTAAGTGACTAGAAGGGTTTCTACAGTTCACTGGAAGTTTCACACAGGACACAAATCATATCACACAGGACACAAAACATATCACACAGGACACAAAACATACCGGTGTTCTGAAGTTCATAAAGGTTTTGGATATTCTTCAGCATTGATCCAACATCAGAGGACAAGAGAAGTCATTTTAGAAGCCAATTCTTGTTTGGAATCTGACAAAGGTTTTACAATGGAGACAAAGCTCATCAGACAACAGAAGGTTCTCAATGTATTGAAGCCATATTATTGTTCTGAATGTGGTAGAACCTTTACATATAAGTCACAACTTATTGCACACCAGAGGATTCACACTGGAGAGAAGCCACATCAGTGTTCAGAGTGTGACAGAGCGTTTAGATTAAAAACACATCTTATTGAACACCAGATGATTCATACCGGAGAAAAGCCATATCAGTGTTCTGAATGCGACAGAACTTTTATACAGAAAGCAAAACTTAATTTACACAAGAGGGTTCACACTGGAGAGAAGCCGTATCAGTGTTCTGAGTGTAATAAAGCTTTTGCATACAAGTCAGAACTTATTTCCCACCAGAGAGTTCACACTGGAGAGAAACCATTTAAATGTTCTGAATGTAATAAAGACTTTGCAGCGAAGACAAGCCTTATATCACATGAGAGGCTTCACACTGGAGAGAAGCCATATCAGTGTCCTGAATGTGATAAATTTTTTACGTGTAAGTCACAACTTAATTTACACACGAAAGTTCACACTGGAGAGAAGCCACATCAGTGTTCCGAATGTGAAAAAGCTTTTCCACGTAAGGCACAACTTTTTTTACACCAGAGGATTCACACTGTGGAAAACCCATTTCAGTGTTTTGAATGTGAAAAAGCTTTTACTTGCAAGTCACAACTTATTTTACACAATAGAGTTCACACTGGAGAGAGGCCGTTTGAATGTTCTGAATGTGGCAAAGCTTTTGCTAAGAAGGCAAGTCTTAATAGACACCAGAGGCTTCACACTGGAGAGAAGCCATATGAATGTTCTATATGCGGCAAAGCTTTTGCAGGGAAGGGTAATCTTAGAGCACACGAGAGGGTTCACACTGGAGAGAGGCCGTATCAGTGTTCTGAATGTGAGAAAACCTTTACATGTAAGGCACAACTTATTTTACACCAGAAGATTCACACCGTAGAAAACCAATTTCAGTGTTTTGAATGTGGAAAAGGTTTTACATGCAAGTCACAACTTATCTTACACAATAGAGTTCACACTGGAGAGAAGCTATATGAATGTTCTGAATGTGGCAAAGTTTTTCCTAAGAAGGCAAGTCTTATAGCACACAAGGGGCTTCACATTAAGGGGAAACCATATGAATGTCCTGAATGTGGCACGGCTTTTGCAACGAAGGGTAATCTTATAAGACACGAGAGGATTCACAATGGAGAGAAGCCATATGAATGTTCTGAATGTGGCAAAGCTTTTTCAGAGAGTGGTAATCTTGTAAGACACAAGAGTATCCACACTGGAAAGAAGCCACATTAATGTTCTGAAAGTGACAAATGTTTTTACATGGAAGGCAAATATTATTACAAAGGAGAGAAGTCACACTGGAGAGAACCCATGTCAGTGTTCTGAATGTGGCAAAGCCTTTCCAATGAAGGTAGAGCTTAACAGACATCAAAGGATTCACACTGGAGAGAAGCCGCATCAATGTTTTGAATGTGACAAAGCTTTTAGATTGCACACACGCAGGGTTTATGCACTAGACTAGAGACTAACAGACAGGTAGCTGCCTCATGCTGCAGGACAGCAAGAGACTAACAGGCTCCTGGCTTTGTAGATTGGAGCTGTCACAGAAGCACAAGAGACAGACCATGCTATGCTAAAAGAAATCCTGAACCGGATGACTGCCCAGGTATCTCCTCACCCACCAACAGGGGGCTAAGCTAGATATGCGCAAGCAGCTGTCTGCAGAAAATGACCACAGATGACGATGTGGAGACCTATCTGCTGGCGTTGGAACGGACAGCCATCTGAGAAGGCTGGCCTCCAGAACAGTGGGCTGGAATGATTGCACCCTTTGTCCTTGGAGAAGCACAAAAAAGCCTATTTTGACCTGGAAGAGGAGGCTGCTGTGGACTACAAACTGAAAGCCAAGATTCCTGCCCTGCTAGGGGTTACAGCAACAGTAAGGGCCCATCACTTCTACAACTGGAGGCTTAATGAAAGGAAAGCGCCCAGATCCCAGATGTTTGACCTAATTCATCTGGCTCGGAAGTGGCTCAAACCAGAGACTCAAACTCTTGCACAGATCATAGAAACGCTTGTGCTTGACCGTTACATGAGAAAGCTTCCAAGTGGCCTCCGTGAGGGGGTCACTTAATGAAAACCCCTGGACTGTGATATCATTCCACTTGTGTGACCATGTTATCTGTCTGCAACAGACTTGGGCCGATCTTTTACTAGATCGAGTGGTAAGATCTAGAGACAGGGGAAACCGGAAGAGTGGATTGGAAGCAGACTTCGGATCGGGAGCCCATTTTTCCAAAACAGACTCTAGAAGCCAAAACCCTGGGAAAGAGGACCACTCTAGGAGAAACTCCATAACTTGTTTTGAGTGTGGCGCAAAAGGACATGTCAGGGCAAGATGCCCTAATCTTCCTGAGCCAATGCAGTGTGGACTAGGGGAAGATTCCTCAGACTTTTGTGGACTTATCTGTTTAGCAGGCCTGGTGGAAGGCGGACATAACTTTAGAGTACCTGTCCTGTTGGACAAACAAGAGACAGTGGCGCTGGTGGACTCTGGCAGCGCCCTTACCCTGGTGGCAAGTAAATTAGTAAAACCTTGTTGGGTTCAGAATCATAGAACCATGGGGGTACTGTCTATTAATGGGTGTACTGTGCAGTATCCTACCTCCAACATAGAGGTGTTAGTACAGGGCAGTCTGGTAAAAATCTTAGCAGTGGTAGTTCCTCGCCTACCATATCCTTTGATCATAGGAAGGAATTTCCCTGACTTCCGCACTCTTTTACAACCCCCTGTAGTGGTAGAACCAGGGGAAGCTGAAGCGGAGCTGGGAAATACAGGTGTCCATGACATTTGTCCCTTTATTCATCCGGACTTGTATATCTCTAACCCAAAAAAAGGTAAAACAAGACGGGAACGCAGGGAGAGCAGGATGAGATTTAATAGGGCCGTCAATGAAATCCTGTGAAATCAGCGTGGGGAACAGTCTAGGAGAGGCGGGGCCACGTGACAGACTGAAGATGAGGCAGAGATTGGTCAACAGGAACCTGACCCAGAAGCAACTAGTGAAGTTGATGAGGAGGATCTGGACATCCTGGATATTTCGGGTAGTAGCTTTGGCCAAGACCAGGCAAGTGATCTCCTGTTGCAGGAAGCCAGGACTAAAGTTATAGAGGTTAATGGGGTACCAGTGGGAGGTGCAACAGAAAAGGTCTATCCCTATTTTATCCTCAAAAACTATTTCCAGTACAGAAATGTACGTTTGATTTTATTTCTGAAATAAAATGATTGAGCGGTGTGAGAGAAATGTTATTAAATTCCTTAGACCAGATGATGAAAATGGTGTAAAATATATCACTGAGGTGTAAACAATCTATCACTTTCCTTCTGTTGTTAAAGGGCCAGCTACATACATTTATTGAACGTGGATTATCTCTATACCATGGACTGGGTTCTTCTACAAAACATCAACCCAGAAAATAACATGACAATGGCAGGCTGACTGTACCTCCTTAAAGTGGACTATGTACTAGATAGCAAGATCTACTTATTTATATCTAAACTCCGTCCTTCCCTTCAGTCTTCTATCTGACCTCCGTCCTTCCCTTCAGTCTTCTATCTGACCTCCGTCCTCCCCTTCAGTCTTCTATCTGACCTCCGTCCTCCCCTTCAGTCTTCTATCTGACCTCCGTCCTCCCCTTCAGTCTTCTATCTGAGCTCCGTCCTCCCCTTCAGTCTTCTATCTGACCTCCGTCCTTCCCTTCAGTCTTCTATCTGACCTCCGTCCCCCTTCAGTCTTCTATCTGACCTCCGTCCTCCCCTTCAGTCTTCTATCTGACCTCCGTCCTCCCCTTCAGTCTTGTACAGTTGTACCGGCTCCTCTTCCTCTGATGTCACTGCACACTAACGATAATCGCAGCGTGTATGGGCACCTCTGGGCCGAGTTTCATGTGCTAGATCTATCCATGATACATTTTCATTTTCTCAGTGGGTAACGGCTAGGCAGTGCCTCAGCCAACATTTCATTAGGTCACCGGAAGGGGAGGGGGGTGGTGCCTGCTGACCCCTTTCTGGCCAGTGCATCTCAGATTGCCAAGAGCTCTTAGCAAACTGGGATGCTGTGGCCGGCATTCATTAAAGCTCCTTGTAACCAGGCAGAGTTACCATACACAACTCCCCTGGTACCTTGCGCCATCAACCACCCTTCGGCTCCCGTAAAGTGTACCACCAAACATCCTGCCCTCCCAACCTTGTTACGTGCACCACCCACACTCCTCCACTGACCACCCCAACCCTCCCTCCTGGGCTCAAGCAGCGAGAATTCCATGGATGGCCCTGGGTGTAAGCCACAGGTGTGATACAGAGAGGGAGACTCCTCAAACAATATGAGGTAGCAGCAAGTGAATCTAGTATCGCAGGGAACTCTAGGCACAACAAGGGGTCAGCAGCAAGGATACTGGGCAATAGTTCACAGCCAACAGTTCATAGGGTAGTAATCACGGACACAGCAAGGGATGGAAGGCGAGGATTAAGCAACTCACACTGTAGGTGTCCGGGGCAGCTGGTTGGCTTGGCTTGGTGGAGGGAGTTCCAGGCAGGGTGATCTGCAGAGTGAGGGGCTTACAGGGTCCTTCCGCAAGGAGATTGCTAGGTCCTGGGAGAGGTGAAGGTCCAGGGTGGCCTGGCTGCAGCCTCAGGTATACCAGGTAGCAGGGAGCACACAACAAGGGCAAAGGATGAGGAGGGCAGAGTGGCAGTGAGAGGAGGCTTCTTTGTCAAGTTGGGCAGTTAGAGAAGTCCTGGAGGCCTGGTTGTAGCTTTGGATTCACACACGTCGGAGGCAGCAAAGGACAAAAGGGCATCTAGGTGTCAAGACAATGACTCACAGCTAGCTAGTAAGGAACTACAAGTCCCAACAATGCTCAATTACAGAATACACCGGTACAGAACTATAAGTCCCAGCAGTCCTCATTCTAGTCCCCTTCCAGTGAGACCCTCCAGCCATGTGTCTCTCCGTGTCTATCACTGGAAGGAACTCTGAATACTCGGTCTCCTTTCTCTGAGCACAGGGCAGTTATAGTGTACCCGGAGCTCAGCAATCAGAAACCTGAGTCCAAATTGCAGGTGCCCCTCCCCCTCCCCCCGCTGCACAAGGTGAAGAAGTCAAAACTGTACCCCCAGCATTGGTGGTGAGTGGACCCAATATTAACCCCCAACATTGGTGGTGAGTGGACCCAATATTAACCCCCAGCATTGATGGTGAGTGGTCCCAATATTAACCCCCAACATTGGTGGTGAGTGGACCCAATATTAACCCTCAGCATTGGTGTCAGTGGATGTAGTAATAACCCCCAGCATTGGCAGTTAGTGGACACAATAATAACCCCCAACATTGGTGGTGAGTGGACCCAATAATAATCGTCAGCATTTGTGGTCAGTGGATGCAATAATAACCCCCAACATTGGTGGTAAGTGGATGCAGTAATAACCCCCAGCATTGGCAGTTAGTGGACGCAATAATAACCCCCAGCATTGGTGGTGAGTGGAGCCAATGAAAAACCCCCAACATTGGTGTCAGTGGATCCAATAATAACCCCCATCATTGGTGGTGAGTGGATCCAATAATAACCCCCAGCAATGGTGGTCAGTGGACACAATAATAACCCCCAGCATTGGTGGCCAGTGGACCCATTCATAACCCAAAGCACTGATGTCAGTGGATGTAATAATAACCCCCAGCATTGGCAGTCAGAGGATGCAGTAATTACCCCCGGCCCCCCCCCTCCCCCCAGTGGTGGTCAGTGGACACAATAATTACCCCCAGCAGTGGTTGTCAGTATAACTGAGTGAAAAGAACTGCCTTAAAGGAGGTCACCATCATGCCAAGAACCGTCATCCAAATCCATAGCCGTTGGACCACAGGCACTGTACCTGAATAACAGGGACCGGATTGTGCCTCAGAGAAGGAATATCCTGGCCATGGACTTGTCCCAGATACTCCAGGAGGAGGGGAGGAGTCAATGATGATTTCTGGAAGTTTATTATCTATCCGAAGCGCTGTAATGTAAGAAGCGTCCTGCGAAGATTCGCCCCCAGCGCCACTTCACAACGTGTTATTAGCAGGTCACCCAGATAACCCCTCCCCCACATGTATCTCCTTTGATCACAACAGGTCCAGTATTGGTGATGACACTTTTGTGAATAACCGAGGAGCCGTGGAAAGGTCAAATGGAAGAGCTACACTTGGAAATCTCTCCTAAAGCAAAACAGAGCAAAGCTGATGGGCGGAAATATT